TGTGGAGCATCAACATCTTATGCTTGTACCACCATTTGCTCATGGGAGACATGAGTATCTTCATTTTCTACTCTCCCATCTTTTTCACCATCTTGTGGCACATTTGATGAAGAAGGTTGATCAATCACTTGTACATCATCTTCATCATCTTTTGGCTTGATGTCTCCAACCGGAATGTTCTTCATGGCCTCCCTCAATGGTTCATCACCTACATCATCAAGATTCTTATGTGCTCCTTGGAAGCCGTTAGATTCATCAAATTCCACATCATATGTTTCTTCAACCAAGCCGGTGGCATGATTAAATACTCTATATGCTTTGGACTTTGATGAGTAACCAACAAGAAAACCAATATCACAACGTCTTTGAAACTTCCCTAGGTGTTGCCGCTTCTTGTAGATGTAGCATTTGCAACCAAACACCCTAAAGAAGGAGACGTCCGGCTTCTTCCCATTGAGCAACTCATAAGGTGTCTTGCCAAGGAACTTTTGAAGGAATAGGCGGTTGGATACATAGCATGCGGTGTTGATTGCTTCCGCCCATAGAGCTTCGGGGGTGTTGTACTCATCTAGCATTGTTCTTGCAAGAGTGATCAATGTCCGGTTCTTCCTCTCAACTACACCATTTTGTTGAGGAGTATAAGTTGCGGAGACTTCATGCTTGATCCCAACTTCATCACAATATGCTTCTATGTTTGTGTTGTCAAATTCCTTTCTATTGTCACTTCTTATCTTCTTGAGCTTCACTTCAAATTCATTTTGTGCTCTCTTGACAAACTTCTTGAAGCAAGATGCAACTTCGGATTTGTCATGAAGGAAGAATACCCATGTGTATCTTGAATAGTCGTCAACAATCACAAGACAATAAAGATTTCCTCCCAAACTCGTGTATGTTGTTGGTCCAAATAAGTCCATGTGAGGAGTTCTAGCACTCTTGTGGTTGACATGAAAGCTTTTGTTGGATGTGTATTTGCAACTTGCTTGCTGGCTTGACATGCACTACAAAGCTTGTCCTTCTTAAACTTCACATCCTTCAACCCTCTCACCAAATCATTCTTCATTAGCTTCTTAAGTGAGTTCATCCCAACATGAGCAAGTCTTCTATGCCATAGCCACCCAAGAGTTGTTTTGGTGAATAGGCATATCTTCAAATTTGCATTTTCGAAGGTGAAGTCCACTAGATATAGGTTGTTGTATCTAAATCCTTTGAATATCACTTGATCATCATCCTTCTTGGATACAACAACTTCCTTATCGGTGAACAAGCATTAGAAGCCAAGATCACACAATTGTCCAACGGATAGCAAGTTGAAACTCAATGAAGCAACATATAGCACATTGGAGATGGAGTGATCATTTGATATTGCCACTTTGCCCAATCCTTTAACCTTGCCCTTTGAATTATCCCCAAATGTGATTCTTTCTTGCCCATCTACTTCTTCATTTAGTGAGGTGAACATACGAGGATCACCGGTCATATGTTGTGTGCAACCACTATCAATAACGCAATGAATTCCACAATTGTAGCAATCCATCTCGGAGATTGACTTTCTTCTAGTGCTTGTGAAGAACTTCTTTTTCTTGCCATCGAACTTGATGTCACTCTTGTTCAGCTTCTTTAGCATTTTGGCGGTTTTTCTCACCATGAGAGCAAGATTTTCATCATCATCTTCTTCATCACTTGAGCTCTCATACTCAAGTCTTGCTTTGCCCTTATCTTGACTAGCTTTGAATGCTAAATCTTTTTCTTTCTTCTTAGTAGAGGATGAGCTATCTTGTGGTGTGATGTGCATGTACATCTCACGAGCATTGATCTTTCCCAAGATTTGTGTCGGTGTAGCGGTGGAAAGATCACCATGATGAAGCACGATCATAATATGCCCATATTTGTCAATGGGGAGAACACTCAAGATCTTTCTTACAACATCGGATGGTGACATTTGAGTGAGTCCAAACCCATTGACTTCCTCTACAAGAACATTTAAACGTTCCTCACGCTCACTCTTTGTTCCCTCATGGAGCGCATAAACATCCGACCATAGTGCATGGGCGTCTTTGTGGTTCATCACCTGGTTGAACACATCTTTGCAAAGGCATCTAAAGATGGTGTTTCGAGCCTTTGCATTCCATTTTTTGTAGTTCGCCTCATCGCCTTGTAGGTGCGTAGCATCCCGAGGTTTTAGGAAGCCTTGTGAGGCGGCTCTAAGTATTCCAACGTCTAGAGCTTCTAGATACGCCTCCATGCGGATTTTCCAATAAGGAAAATCATCCCCCTCAAAGATAGGATGAGGTGCATCCCCGTGAGATATCTTTCTCTAGGCGGTTAAGCCTAAATACGTGAGCACGAGGCTCTGATACCAATTGAAAGGATCAAGACGCCCAAGAGAGGGGGTGAATTGGGCTAATTCTAAATTTCTTTACAATAATTAAATTCTACGGTTAGCCCAATTAACCCCTTGTGCCTAGAAAGTGTGTTCTAATATTCTACCACATAAAAAGACTTGCAACCTAAGCTCCAATCCTACTGTAGCAAGGCAATTCTATGAATGTAAATGATAAGAATTGAATTGCTCAAAGTAAATGCTTAAAGTAAAGATAGGAGAGGAAACGCGGCGATGTTTTACCGAGGTATCGGAGAGTCGCCACTCCCCACTAGTCCTCGTTGGAGCACCCACGCAAGGGTGTGGCTCTCTCTTGATCCGCGCAAGGATTAAGTGCTCTCTACGGGTTGATACTTTGACACTCCGTCGCGGTGAATCACCCACAACCGCTCACAACTTGAGTTGTGTCATCCACAAGCTCCGCCGGATGATCACCAAGCTCTCAATCACCACCAAGCCGTCTAGGTGATGGCGATCACCAAGAGTAACAAGCACGAACTCTCACTTGACCACGACAAGCCTAATGAGAAGGGTGGATGCACACTTTGCTACTCTTACTTCACTAATGAGGGCTCTCTTTGGGATTCTTAAATCTCAATCACCTCACTAGGACCTTCCTCTTCTTGGCACTAACAAACGTGTTTCTCAGCTGTTGGAATGAGCAAAAGTACCCCCACACACAAGTGGAGGTTGTATTTATAACACCGGCTGAAAAACGAACCGTTATGTGCCTCTGCGGGGTGACCGGACGCTCCGGTCAGTACACCCCGAACTTCAGTGTTCATGTGTTGACCGGACGCTTGACAGCGTCCGGTCAGCACTGACCGGACGTGTCCGGTCACGATTTCTCCTCACTGGAACCTTACTGATGTCGACCGGACTCTGGACCCCCAGCGTTCGGTCACTTGCTGAGCAGCGTCTGGTCAGTAGCCGGAACCTGACCAGCGTCCGGTCAGCACTGACCGGACGCATCCGATCATGATTCTCCCTCTCTAGGGCCTTACTGGAGTCGACCGGACGCTGGCCCTTAGCGTTCGGTCACTTCACCTCTCAGCGTCCGATCACTTCCAAACAACTTCACCTTGATCAAATGAACTGACCGGACCCTGCGGCCAGCATTTGACCCTCCATTCACTTCCAACTTTTGATCATACGTGAATGAAGTTTGCTCCATTGGATCTAAGGGCTATTTTGGAGCTACCTAGTGCTAGATTTAGCAAGTGTGCACCACACCTAACTCACTAGACTCACTTAGACCATGATATCCGTCCATACCCCCCTTAATAGTATGGCCAAAGGAAAAACAAAGTCATAAACTACTCTAAGTGTCTCTCTAACTCCAATCGACACTTAGAACTAGTCATCCTTAACCTTGTCGTCCATCCTTTGAAAACCAAAACGATTTCCATCGTAGGGGCATGACAACCATGATTGCCTAATCGATCTCCATTACCATGACCTAACTTAATTGCCTCTGCAAAACACCCGGCTGTAGAATCTGCAGGGATAACTGTAGCAGCCGGCTCTGATGATGCCACTGAGGAATAGAGCGTCTCAGTAGTCGTAGTGATAGGAGCAGCTATAGAAGGACCTGAGACATACAGGTATGACGGAGTAGGCTGTCCTGTCAATTCGCTGAAGGTAGCACCAAGGCTCCTGAACACTGTAGTCTCTGGCTCTAGCAGCGAAGAAGTCTGTGCCGGTGTGAAGCCCGTCTGAAAAGGTGTGAACTGCGGGGCTATCACTGTCAAAGCAAACCACTGGGACACCTGCTTTGTAGGTGAAGCATATTGTGCTGGTGGCTGTCCGCCTGTCTCTGACTCTGAAGCTCACTAGGCTGTAACGCTAGAGTCATAATAGTGGTGGCATACTGACCAAGTTGGGGCGAAGATTGTGACGGTGGAGCCCCAATAGCTGTTACTACATGCTGCATGAATCCAAGAAGCTGCTGCTACATGAGGATCTGCTGCTGATGCATGGCCTGCTGCTGTTGCTGTAGAGTCTGCGTTTGCTGCTGAATAGTCAGCTGCTGTCTCTAAAACTCATCCTGCCGAGTCTGAAACTGTGCAAAAGTGACAGCGGTCTCCTGAGCCTGCGTGCCTGATCCTGCCTCATCCGCGCAAGTATATCTAGAAGAGCGGGGGCCGTCTATGGTGTAGGTGGAGCTGAACTGGAGCTACCGGCCTCAGCATCATATCGTCGTGAAGGCATCTGAGGTATGGGCTGGTAGTCATCACTGTAATGCTCTTCGTAATCTCATCCTGCTGGGCTTAGCTACATCTTATATTATATTATTATATAGAATATTAGTTTTTTTTTTTCTAAAAAGGTGTTCCCTCCACCGTCACTTCCTTTTCCGTCATCAATCTCTCGCCCGCAACTCGGACCCGAGTTCGGCCCTCCCGCATCCCAGGCCGAGCACGAGTAGGCCTCTCCCTCGCCGAACTCCCTTCCGCGTCCGAGCGGAGGAGGTTGTCTGCGCCCGCTCCCGGCGCCTCCCTCGCCGGAGATCCCGCTCGCGCCGAGGTGGTCGCCTCTCTCGATCCGTCCCGGGCTCCCGGCGTCCCCGTCCCCAGGAGATCGCGAAACCCTAGCCCCCATCTCGCTCTCCACCGCCCCCATGCCTCCCCACCGCCGAAGCCGCCGCCTCCGCGGTCAAGAGCCTGGTGAAGAATGCTCCCGCTCGTCGTATGTCCGTTTCCCCTCATCATGCGTCTTCTATTTTGGCAAGATAGATGTATCGAAATTGAATAGTTCCTCTTGTTTATCGGTTGCCTGGATCGAAATCAAATAGTTCCTCTTGTTTATTGTTTATATTAGACAGATTTGTTTATCGGTTGCCTGGATCGAAATCGAATAGTTCCTCTTGTTTATCGTTTTGATTAGATAGATTCCTATGTTTCAGTGGGATTTCTGGCCTCTGTCAGCCTTTCTCTTTGTTCTATCAACTTTCGATAAACACGATGATAATATGTTAGGTGCCGAGAAGACAAGGAGCGTGAGGCTGCACAGACGCAGTCTGAGGCATTAGTTCAGGTGTCGGAACTATCCTCGCCTCCTGTGTCATGCATATGGGAGCGCCTGTGGCGTGATTGGGGACGCCGATTTTGTATCAGGCTCGATCGTCAGGGATGTTTCCATACATATCCTGATGTGGGTGGGCCATTTCAGAGCTTGCCGGAAACCTACGAGGCTATTGATCGCTATCTCGAGGACCTCCGGGATCCGAAGATGTAAGTTGTCTCACCTGCGTTACAGATTTGGATTTTCCCCTATTATGCATGCATGCTTGCAGCTGATTATATTTTTTTTAAAAAGCTATGTAACCACATTCTTCAATGGCATAGGTCACAGTAGATAATCCCACAACAACAACAACAACAACAAAGCCTTTAAGTCCCAAACAAGTTGGGGTAGGCTAGAGTTGAAACCCATCAGAAGCAATCAAGGTTCAGGCACGTGAATAGCTGTCTTCCAAGCACTCCTATCTAAGGCTAAGTCTTTGGGTATATTCCATCCTTTCAAGTCTCCTTTTATTGCCTCTACCCAAGTCAACTTCGGTCTTCCTCTGCCTCTCTTCACGTTGCTATCCTGACTTAGGATTCCGCTACGCACCGGTGCATCTGGAGGTCTCCGTTGCACATGTCCAAACCATCTCAACCGGTGTTGGACAAGCTTTTCTTCAATTGGCGCTACCCCTAATCTCTCACGTATATCATCGACAGTAGATAATCCCAGTTTTTAAAAAAAATAAAATAAAAAAGAACTATGACCAAACTAAGTTAATCTAAGATTGAAAAGTATAAGCATATATTTCTTAGTCTTAGAATTCCTCTTTTGGGACCATCTAAAGTTAACGTGAGCATTTTGTAACTTTATTTGATAGTTGTTTAAATAGTGCAAAAGATCATACTACCGCTTTGCTTTGACAAAGCAAACATAGATGCTATAGTACCAGTGTACCACATACCACTTTGTTCAAATGTTAATTTGTATTATCTGAATTGTAACCTGTACAATTAGTTAACCTTCAGCCAGCTAAAGAACGGTGGTACCATACAACAATGTTTCCTCATGTACTAAACAAAGTGGTTATAGGCAAACAATATGTTCTGTTAACAGATCAAAATAGTGTGAATAGTGTGATGGGAGCACAATTAGTTGGGCCATCTGAAAATTGCAGTGGGATACATTTTTCCCTTAAAAGAAGGTATAATGCACTTGAGAATTTGTAGGCATGTCTGCATATGAACAATCTTGTATCATTTTGTTGTTGCTGTTGTTATTTACTACCATGAGCTATGTGAGGTTGGTCCTAGTCAACAACCTTCTTTGCAAACTAGTGAACCTAGTACTCCCTTTGTCCCCAAAAGAATGCAATTCTAGCTTTGTCCTAAGTCGAACCATTTTAAGTCGGACCATTTCATATAGAAAAGTAGTGATATTTGTCACACCAACTAAGTACTATTGGATTAATCATGAAACATATTTTCATGGTATACCTATTTGGTTTCATAAATATTGATACTCTTCTCTATAAAGTTGGTCAAACTTAAGAGTTTGACTTAGGACAGCTAGAAGCCTAGAATAGCTTATTTTTTGGATGGGGAGGGAGTACATGGTATTGCTTTGTGTTCTCCACTTTTGGGAAAGTGCAATCTACTGATGAGATAGAATGTTCTCATCTAAATTAGGTGTGCGGAGGAAGATAAGGCTATAATAGAATGTCTTTACTGGCCTGATGGCACAATCAAGAGGCGTACAAGAGGACCTGTAACTGAGAAATCCGAAATGTGTCAAATGGTTCAAGCTTTAGTGGACAAGTATAATGAGGATCATAATCTTTTGGAGGTTTGCTCTCCCTTCTGCCCTCATTGTGTGTCTTGTTACCATTGTTGCGCTGTGTCTTATTGCCTTGTTAATGTAACAATTGCTGATCTGACCCATGCTTCTTATTTCAGGGTCTTGCACACGAACTCAAAGACGTTTTACACTACAACTCAATTTGTGAGAAGCAGAAATGGTACTATCATCTCAATTTCACTACAAAGATTAAAGGGGCTGGTCCAAATGAATGTAACCTGGACAATCTTTTCTTTGTGGAAGTGAAATGTATGCCACAAGCAAAGTTTACAGAACTGCTGGCTAACTGTTTCTGCAGAGTTAATCTGAATGACAATGGTATTACATACTCTTTATCGTAAATTAAGTACTGTTCAAATTCAGTTATTTGGTCGCACTAACTTCAACTTATCTGCCTGTAATTGTAATGTATCTCTGTCTGTTAGCATATGATCTTTAATGTGTTGAACTGTTTGTTTGCCCCTGTTCCATGTGTGCCACCTTCGTTGTCCTGGAGCTTTTTATTATTTATAATGTCAAACTGGTTAATGCAGAACAATGGTTGTGTAATGACTTTTTATTACCTTTAACATTATTGTGTGTTTGTGCTAGGTTGGTTCCTTTGCAGTTAACTTCTCTTTTTTTTTTGTTAATAAAGGTCAATGCTATGGTTGCACCAGAGATGGAGATGTTGGTATGAAGCACCCTAGCAGTTCTGTTGGATACACTGCTGGTCACTTGAATGTGGGTTTGCCATCTGGATACTATGGAAAGTGGAAGAGGGACTATGAGGATGAGGAGGATGATGATAAATATGTATGATGACTTATTTTCAACATTTTTGTTGCTTCAGTTTCAATTACACGTGTTCTCCCCCACTTTTACAGGTGAAAGCTAGGGAAGCTGAGCTAAGGCAGATGTTCAAGGTAATGTCATATCTTGTGCCGTATGGTACCATTTGTACTAAAATATTTTTGTTTCTGGATTGATTCTAGTTCCTGCTTGTGTATTTGTTGTCCTTAGGGCCTTGATAAGCCAGGTGTCTTGAAGAAACTTATCACGCCCCCTCCGTGGGCAACTAAACGAAAAGTGCTGGGGTGAAACATCACAGTCCATTGCACTTCCTTGTGGCTGAATGTATATTTCGCAAGCAATAGCCCTTCTAGTAATTATGTTATGTACCCAGGAACTCAGCTTGTTAGTTCATGTTGTTAAGACACTGAAGAAGAAAGCATATTTGAGTGGCACTGAGAAACCATTTGAGTCGAGGTTGAGCTATTTGTAGCCTGCTACTCTTGATAAATAAGTATCTTCGGAATGCCCTCAGGAGACCTTTTAATATTATATGTTATCTTCCGTTGCATTGACCAACTGTTTTAGGATTAGGAGATGAAATAGCCTATTGTTTGGAGTACATTCAAGGTCAAGAGGATCGAACTGCCTTGAGCGGCTTGTTCTGCGGAGCTGTTGTTGCATCCAAAGTTTCACGCAAGTGGGATCATGCAGGAATTAGCAACTGTCGACCAGACCAGACCAGACCAGCACATTGGTGCACCATTGTGACTCTGTAGTGGTCTAGTGGTGCACCTCGGTGGCTCTGTAGCTGTTTGGTTGGCTGGGCCATGGTGTCCTGTCAGGGTGGCCAGTGCCAGGTTTTTATTTGTGCAAAGAGGCATGCTTGTTTCATAGCCAGTTGGCCCTAGTTGTGCTTGTGCAGAGTTCATGTTTGTTTGGCTGCAGCACACGTGTCCCAACCATCAACTGCCATAACTAGGAGATCATGTTTGTTTCTCTGGATGGGTCTGGTGGCTCATGCATTGATTGTGCATGCAAATACAGAAGAAGAACAAAGGATGTTTATAACACCTAATAGAGTTTACAAATTTTACCAAAACATGTCTACACATTAGAGGCCAAACGCAGCTACTGGAGGGATGCAGGTTTGTTTCACCTTGCTTTAGCTGAAGGGGGTACAGGGAGGCAGTGAAGAGGCGAAAGCTGGTGACGGCCTGAGGGGGAAGTAGATCTAGCGTCGAAGAGCACCAAGTGCTCCAGCCACCAGCAGCTCGGAGAAGGGGAAGAAGCTGCCCGCTCGAAGAAGGCCTTACACACCGGCAAGGCGGAGCAGCAGAGAGGCCCCAACCACGGAGACGGAGGCGACGACCTGCGATGGCGGCAGCCGAGCTCAGGAGAAACGAAAATGGATTTCATAAGACTAGAGACGGTTCTTCGCGCCGTCTATAGCTCAGGCTAGTCCTAACAGGTGATATCGTACTCCAAAATCCAAGACTGTCACGTAGGATACATGGTATGATACAGCTACAGTTGGGATCAAATAAACTTCAGTGCTTGTATGACACTGTTATAACTTCTCTAGTGTATATATAGTATCACACACCATTACGGTGTCCAACGAAAAGTGTAAAACCAATACATATATAGCACATTGTTTTTTTTCTCTCTCCTCTTTTATTTCTATGCCACATCAACAATTTGTTCTACGTGGCAAAACATTAAATGAGTATAACGCCGTGTACTAATTCACTGCAGTTGCTGCATGGAAAAGACCTGCACTGCACTTGCTAGATGTAAAAGAATAATAAAAACCTCACAAAAAACAATATATTTTCTTACATAATTTTACTATTTTGTTATCGAGTCAACGCGATAAAATTTATGCAGCAACACGTGGTGTATCATCTAGTTCAATGAAAGCCGGACTGAATCCTGTCCATATAACTAGATGCCCATGCGGCACGAATAGAGATGAGACTAGCGAGCACAACACGGCCCTCTCGTGCTTCATGCAGCTTTGGATGTGGCCTTAGGCATGTGAGGTACTTTGGGTCGTGCCGGATGACAAGATAAGTCTTCGCTTCGGTCCAAGCACGGACCATAGCACGCCAGCTCGTCTCTGTGTCATGCCCACTCAAACACGACCTTCAAAATATCTTTGTTAGTTTTTGTTGCCCGCTCGTGACATAAAAACTATATTTGCTATGTATCGTATTCACAAAAATGATTTTCATAGTCCATTCAAAAATTAGATAAGAAGTAGTATAAAAAATTATATCTTAGTGTTGTATAGATGTATTTATATGCCATTTTTGCTGGCCAAACCCAAGCCAAAATTCGGACCAGATCATGCACCGAAATCTTAGGCATGGCATGGTCCTTGTGTCATGTGGTTCGTGCTTTGGGCCGTGCCACGGCCCACACTCAGATGGCATGGCCCAAGTTCAGTGATCGCCTGCGGAGCGCAGTCTGGTGGCGCGGAGGCGCTGCCTGCAGTGCCGCTCCAATTAAGGTGAAGATGCAGGTCCCTTCCCCCTGCATGATCTCGACGCCTGCTGCGCGCTGCACAACTTCGGCGAGGGGCTTGATCACCCCC